TTGTGAAACTTGATTAATCTAATCCGATATCTCGTTTTTGCATCAGAATCTTGTTCTTTCTTTATTTCTTTTATCATCCAGTATTAAACTCCTTATGATGACTAGCTACACGTCTTGCAAAGGACTTAGTGAGCTCGTTATGATCAGTGAGTAGTCGTTTAAGCGGCTTTAGATAGGTAGATTAGGGTGCTTTCAAGATAGATTAGTGGGTTTAGGTGTCTAGTCTTGCATGTTTCATTCCTTAACCGACAAGATCTCTAGGCTGGATCCAAGCACATCACTTGAGGTTCAGATCTGAGACATATCTCGCATCAAAAGTATTTGTAGAAATGTCTGAACCACTCGGTTAAGGGTTTAAGAGTCTTTCATCGCGAGAGTGATAGTTTGATCTCTTAAATGACATTTTTGAACTGAATCTTATTGCTGACTGATTCGTGCTTCTCAAAAGAGATTTTGGTATGAAAGAGGATCAGTTTAGATGTTTAATACTTTCATGAGAAGATTAACATGCCTTGATTTCAAAGTTAAATGAAATCGCTTGATAAAATGATTCATTAACCTATTAGTTTAGCTTGGAAGCACCCGAGTCAAGTATCCTGTCTAAAGCTTCTGTCTTTGTCATATATTTTCATCATCCGAGTTATTTACTTGTCATTAGCATCTTGCTTAGCTTAAATCTCATCATTTGTTTTACCTTTATCCTCATTCACCTGTTACTTAGTTTAGCTAAAAACCTTTACCATTCTCTCTTGACTTAAGGCGACAAATGACATAGATAGTGTCTCCACTACAAGTTTGGTTTGATAACCCCTTGTACTACAAGGACAGGGGTATTGATAACCTCTACAAAGAGTGAAAACTATTAGTTATCAAAGTTAGATGGGCCGAGCCGTGGAAAAGTTCAGATGGACCGAACCAAGGCCTTCAGAGACGAAGCCCATAAAAAACCCTAGGCGACATACAAAGGCGGTGAGCCGCACGAGGCGATAAGGAAATATTCCGAAAATCTCTCCCGAGATTCTCGGCTAGGCGGTTCGGAGAATTAGTATAAATAGATGATGTATACAATTCATTCTGTAACTTTTGCAACCCTAAGAAATAAAGACTAAACACTTTTACAGCAAGAAAAACTTTCTTTCGATCTTACTGTTTTTGGCGATAAACCCTAGAAGTTTCCGATCCCTTAGTTTTCCTTAAACAAATTTCTGGTTGTGCAAGTTTTGGCTCACACAATTTGGCGCCGACTGTGGGGAATCGAAACTTTCTTACTCTAAATCTACAAGACTTTAAGATCCGAAGAACATGGCGAGCAACACCCCCGACGATAACAACAACAACAACAACATCGGTAACGGCGCGGAGAAGGACGCTCCGGCATCGGGCACAACGACGGCAACGATCGAAACCCAAGAAGAGATGCGAAACATGATGGCTGCGTTGATGAAGCAAATCGACGAACAGGATAAAAGAAACGAGGTGATTACGGAGAGGCTCGACGCGATGGCGGCTGAGCGATTACACCCAACTTGGAGAGCCGGAATTCCCGACCCGATGGATGGAATCCGGAGACGCTTCGATTTCTCGACACCTGCAGAAGCCTCAGGGAGCGACGCAAGAAATCCCTCGGCTCCCCCGATGTTTCGTCCCCTCGACTAACAGACTCCCGCAGCAAACCGAGTCAACATGACCGAGCCGCCTCCACTCTGCCGGAACTCAAGGCGACGAGCCGGCGAGGAAGAGAACGATGCGATTGACGTAGACGCCCAGCAGAACGACGGAACCACAAATCCGCAGAAAACCGGCTCGGCTCGCCGAATAAGTCAAGAAGAGCTCGCCTCGGCACTGAACGGCGTCCGAACTGACGCAGTCTCCGACACGACCCGCGGCGACAATCCAACCGAGGAGGAAGAAAACCTCCAATGGATCGAGCAGGCAGAGCGCGAAGACGAGCCGAGGAGAGAGGAGCGGGAGCGACCCCCCCAATCAAAGGGAATGACTCACGCACAAACTCTCGAACTCAAAGAGCTGCGAGCCTCGATGGCTCGGACAGTAGCTGAAATACGCGCCATGAAATCCCAAGTGCACAACGCGACAAGCGCCGAGCCCGAAATCGACCGAATGCTTGAAGAAACTCAGAGAACCCCATTCACTGCAAGAATCACGGAGGCCAGGATTCCCGAGCCGGGGAAGGTGAGAATCCCGTTCTACGAAGGAACAACCAACCCGAAAGCACACATCACAGCGTTTCGGATAGCAATGGGGCGAGCCTTCACAAAGAACGCCACTAAACTCACCGAGCGCAAAGTAGATGCTGGATACTGCCTGCTCTTCGTGGAGCATCTCAAAGGAGCCGCGCTCGAGTGGTTTTCAAGGCAGGAACAAAATTCAATCGGCAGTTTTCAACAGCTCTCCGCCTTGTTCCTGAAACAGTACTCGATGTTCATGGACAGATGATAGATAAGACTTTTAAGGGTCTCAGGGCTATCAATCCCCTTGTCAATGTAGTACAAAGAGGTTTATCAATCCAGATGTGGTGTTAGACACTAAGCTATATGATCAAGTTCTTAATTCAAGCAAACAAGAATAGGTTTTGATTAATCTAGAGACAACTATAAACATAAACAGGTTTAAAGACAAATGACAATGACAAATGATGTGAATATGATATGATGGAGGCATGAGATTCTAGACATGATAGTTGGTTAGGGTGCCTTGGTGTTAAACTAGAAATGCTAATGACAATGATGAGACATGATTCAAATGATTAAGAACTCTAATCTAGGTTAATCCTCTCATGAAGGTATTAACCCCTATACTAATCCATTTTCAAACCAAATTCCCATTTGTGAAACATGAATCAATATGCATTAACAAACAGCTCTTAATGATCATTCAAGCATTTAACAAATCATTCCCATGATGAAAAATTACTTAAACCTCTAACACAACTCTTTCAGGAATTTCATCAAACACTTTTGGTGCATGAAATTCCCAGAATCTAGATCTCAAGTGATTATCAAGGATTTAGCATAGAGAACAGCTGTTTAGAGAGATGAATCAATGAATCTAGCCCTAAGCACTCCTAATCTAACACTTTAGCACCCTAACCTACACATCTAGAACCTCATTAAGGTGACTACTCACTAATCATACTAATCTCTCTTAAACTTTTGCAAGTTGAGTAGATTAGCATGATTAATGATGAGAAATGGAGATGGAGATGATAGATTCAAAAGAAAACAGCTTTAAACACCCAGATCTCCTTAAACTCTCTTGATTAAACACTCAAATAAAGATATTTCTCTTCTTAATGGAGTCTTTTCACCAAAAAGGCCAGAGACAAAGGGAATAAAACTTAGTTCTCCCCCAAAAAACCCTAAAAAGTATTTATACCTTTTTAAAAACGAACCGGGTCAGCCCGGAACAAACCGGGTCCTGACCCGGTTTTAATGGATAAAGTGGGAAAAGCTGCGGGTCGGTTCAGTATGTCCCAGGCCGCACACCTAAGTCGCAGTAGATGAAGACTTGTCTTGTGAGGCTTGAATCACCTTGTCGGAGCCGCACGCCTATCTAGGAGTAAATTGCGAGTGTTTCTGCGGCATGGTCTCCTTCCTCTCCAACTCGCAGGGCTGAGCCGGTTTCTGGGGGATGTAGAAACTGTGCGGGTTGGTCTCTATTGCACTTAGGTCGCAGGCTCAAGTCGGAGTGAATTCCGAGTGATCGTGCGGCATAGATCCAGGCGCGGATGACTCGCATGCCTAAGTCGCACGATTGTGGACTTAGCATTTCTCTTGCTCGGGAGCTCCAGACCTCTTCCAGTGATAGTTTACCCGCACATTTCAACTCGCAGCATCAGCATTCAGGTGTTCATCTTCAGGCCTGCGGGTTAACCAAGTCGCAAGACCATCTCGCAGCATCCAGAGCAGCTTAGATCACTTCGCATTCCGGAGAGTGTAACTCCTGTGATACTTGTCCGAATTGAATGATTTCGGTTGCAGAAGACAGAGGACTCATTTATCTCCAACTTTTGTGAAGGAAGTTTCAGTGCTTGGGAGGTGGAAGGCTTCCTGGAGGGCACATCTTTGCAGTGCATGTATACGACCAGAGAGAGGCGTCTAGACATGTGTCCATTCCGGAGGCCGTATCTTCCTGCTCATAGATCCGAATTGAATGCTCTTGGACGTTCTGGAAAGAAAACTCAAATGTCTCTGATTCTCATGAAGGACCCGGAAGCTGAATCGGCCTGGAAGTGCACCGTCCTTCGCATCCTTCAGAACTGATCTGCTCGGTCCGGAATACCTGCGAGACAGGGGTTTCTTCCGACGAGCTTATCTCTCTGCTCACGCGTCCGAATTCTACGATTCCAATTGCTATGAGACCGTGCTTCAATGCTCTCCAACTTCTATGAAGGACCCGCCTTCTGAATCGGACCGGAAGGCTCCCCGGACAGGTGATTTCTGAGACTCGTTCGCACCCGGAGATTTTGGCCGATATACTTAATTCGCGGTACGTGAAAATGGCCGGTAAAGCTTCCCGCGGTACATGAAAATGGCCGGTAAAACCTTCCTGGCCAGCGAGAATGGCCGATAACCTCCATAGACTCAAGTTTTCCACTTTTTCAAGCTCTGCTCACCATTCCACCTCCTGGATTCATCTTTTCAGCTCCATAATCACCTGATAGACACTCAAAACATGCAAAGACTCATTGGGACCTAATGCATCTCCTAAGTTCTAAAACAAACCCTAGGGACCTAAAATACATGAAATAAAACATGATTTGGAATGATTTATGCAACCTAAATGATGCAAATTATGAACATATCAACAGAGGAACATCTGATGCCGACCTGTGGACACTATCCCAAGGACCAAACGAACCGCTTCGGGATTACATGGCAAGATTCAAGGCAGTCGTATCCAAAATAGAAGGGATAAGCGACAAGGCTGCACTCGAAGCTCTAAAACGATCCCTATGGTACAAATCAGAGTTTCGAAGGGAGATGGCGCTGAACACGTCGCAAACAATTCAGGACGCTCTGCATCGGTCATCAGACTTCGTCGTAAATGAGGAGGACATGAAGAACCTGGACGAGCAGTACGAAACAACAAAAGCAGCGATCCGAAGCTCAATTTTGACGCGCCCCTCGAAGAAAGGCAACCCATCAAACAACGCAACAACGCAGAGCTCAGACGAATCTAGAAGCGGAGGTGTCCACAACTACCAAGTAGGCACTGGACGCGGAAGAGGAGAGTCGCGCAACAACACTTGGGTAAGAAAGCCCACCAATTACGACGAAAAAGCATTCTGCGAGTATCACCAGACCTACAGGCATTCAACGGCTCAGTGCCAAACCCTAGGAGCAAAACTCGCAGCTAAGATGGCGGCGGGAGAGCTCCAGAACGCGGTCAACCTCAAAGACCTCGTCCCTAACGAACAACAAGAGAGAGCCGAGCCGAGCGGCGTGGCAAAACCCGCGAATCCTCCCCGACGAGGCGATAACTCCAAGCGCGACAGGAGAGGCGAACCCGAAGAGCAACCCGAGCCGAGGCAAAGGATCAATATGATCATGGGTGGATCTCTATACTACCAAGATACCGTGTCCTCCATCAAAGCCTATCAGCGCCGAGCCGAAGCAAAGGAGAATTGGACAGAACCAACCGACATCCCAAACACAGTGATTTCCTTCGCCAAGGAGGAAACGGCAGGAATCGATCGACCTCACAACGATCCGTTGGTGATTGAGTTAATGATCAGGGATCATGACGTAGCAAGGGTGCTCATCGATACTGGAAACTCAGTGAACGTCATCTTCAGGGAAAACTCAGAAGAATGGGAATCGACCTCTCCGAGGTGGAAGCAATCCCCAAACCTCTAACCGGATTTTCAGGAGAAACGACGATGACTATGGGAACGATCAGGCTTCCTGTGGTAGCTGGCGGAGTCACTAAGATCATCGAATTCTGCGTCACTGATCACCCAGCAATCTACAATGTGATCATGGGAACTCCGTGGATCAACGGGATGAGGGCGGTACCCTCCACGTATCATCTCTGTCTCAAATTCCCAACTCCAGCAGGTGTCAAAACGATCTGGGGGAATCAGAAGGAGTCACGAATGTGCTGCCTAGCCGAGCACAAGCTGAGGAACTCCGTCACCGTTGCACGAGCAGACATAGACCGGAAAAAGATGAAGACAGACCGAGAGCCCGCGAACAAGCTCTCGAAACTCTTATAGCAATTACAGATCGCGGAGAGCCGCGAAACACGCGCCGAGCAGGTATGTGATGTGGTGGAGTCGGTGTGCATAGATGAGGCGCGCCCGGAGCGATGCGTCGAAATAGGAGCAAAGCTGGAAGAGCCTTTGAGAAGCGAACTCCTTTCCCTCCTCAAGGAAAACATCAACACTTTTGCCTGGACAGCGGAAGATATGCCAGGCATAAGCATCGACGTGACTTGTCACGAGCTGAATGTGGACCCGACCTTTAAACTAGTCAAGCAGAAAAGAAGGAAGCTCGGCCCCGAACGAGCTAAAGCAGTTAACGACGAAGTCGAAAGGTTACTCAAAGTATCAATCGCCGAGGCCAAATATCCGGACTGGCTCGAAAATCCGGTGGTCGTGAATAAGAAGAACGGCAAGTGGCGAGTATGTGTGGATTTCACCGACCTCAACAAGGCGTGCCCAAAAGACAGCTTTCCCTTGCCACACATCGACCGGCTCGTCGAAGCCACCGCAGGGAATAGACTGAGTCGCCGCGCTAAACAGCTTTATTTCCCGCTCCACAGAAAAATGCCTGCCCTTCTACGACACCCTCCGAGGAAACAAGAAATTTGAGTGGGACGAACGATGCGAGACGGCTTTCCAGGAATTGAAGAATTATCTGGCGAGCCCACCAATCTTATCAAAACCAGTCGAAGGAGAGCCGCTCTTCCTCTACATCGCAGTGTCTGCTATAGCTGTAAGCGGAGTGCTTATCAGAGAAGAACGATCCGAGCAAAAACCCATTTTCTACATTAGCCAGACATTGACCGACGCCGAGACCTGCTACCCCCAGATCGAGAAGGTCGCCCTAGCCGTCGTAATCTGGGCTCGCAAAGTACGCCCGTACTTTCAATCACATTCGATTGTTGTGCTCGCTACGCTTCCGCTGCGCTCGATCCTACACAGCCCTAGCCAATCCGGTCGGCTCGCCAAATGGGCAATAGAGCTAAGCGAATACGACATGGAGTATCGGAACAGGTCGTCTGCAAAGTCACAAGTGCTTGCAGATTTCCTCATTTAACTTCCCGCCGAAGCAACAAACGAGCCGATGATAACTTAAGGTTTTTAAGCCATTATAGAGGTTATCAATACCCCTGTCAGAGTAGTATAAAGGGGTGTCAATCCAAGCTTGTAAACGAGAGACTATCTATGTCATTTGTTCTTTAAGTAAAGAGAGAATGGTAAAGGTTTTTGCTAAGCTAAGTAACAAGCGATTTAACATAAAAGTAAAGCAGATGATGAGATTTGAAACAAGCTAAGATGCAAATGACAAATAAATGATTCAGATGATTATAATGAATGATAAAGGCAGAGACTTTAGACAAGATAATCGACTCGGGTGCTTCCAAGCTAAACTAATGGGTTAATGAATCATTTTATCAAGCGGTTTCATTTAACTTTGAACTCAAGGCATGTTAATTTTCTCATGAAAGTATTAAGCATCTAAACTGATTCTCCTTCATACCAAAATGTCTTTTGAGAAGCACGAATCAATCAGCAATAAGATTCAGTTCAAATATGTCATTTAAGAGAACAAACTATCACTCTCGTGATGAAAGACTCTTAAACCTTTAACCGAGTGGTTCAGACATTTCTACAAACACTTTTGATGCGAGATATGTCTCAGATCTGAACCTCAAGTGATGTGCTTGGATCCAGCCTAGAGATCTCGTCGGTTAAAGAATGAAACATGCAAGACTAGACACCTAAACCCACTATTCTATCTTGGAAGCACCCTAATCTATTCATCTAAAGCCGCTTAAACGACTACTCATTAATCATAACGAGCTCACTATGTCCTTTGCAAGAAGTGTAGCTAGTCATGATAAGGAGTTTGAGCTGGATGATTAAGGAAAATAAAGAAAGAACAGGATTCTCATGAAAAAACAAGAGATCGGATTTGATTAATCAGGTTTCACAAAAGAGGCAAGTTCTTAAAGCTAAAAACAGATAAGAGATAAGATAACTAGGTTTTTAGTCTCAAAATGTATTTATAGCAAAGGGAAAGTGTCGCGGGTCAGCCCGGAACAAACCAGGTACTGAACCGCTTCCTTGGGTTGATGGGTGAGTGCCACGGTGTGTCGGAAAGTGAAGCCGAGGTCTTCATGCCGAGGTGTGCACGTGAGTCAGGATCCAGATGAAGATCTCGTGAAGAACACGTCAAGAACATGCATGAACCCTAGTCTTTGATCCATCCTCACGTGTGTGTTCTTGAGCCATTCTGTTCTTGATTCTGGGTTCGTGACAAGGGACCTCGGGATAAAATGTCGAGGGGTCATGATGTCGAGGCAGCTCAGAGAACACAGTCCGGCATGCACGCCGAGGTCATTACACCGAGGTGTACTCTCAACACTTAGTCGTTTCCAGCTTCAGTTCTTACGTATGCATGCCTCGATCTAATCATGCCAAGGCTTTGGGACGAGGTCTGGTCCAGAATACTTCCAAGATATGAGCCTCGACTTGAGTGATGCCAAGGTCAAGATACCGAGGCTTGTGAAAACACTTAGCGCGTATCGCAACTCATTTAGGCTTGTATCGACCATGTCACCTTCCGGAAGCGATAACTTTCAGCACACGACTCCAATTGCTCTAGGACCAGTTCCACAGTCAAGATGACTCAATGAGCTCGAACTTTGGTGAAAAAACCATCGGAGCTTGGGGAGTGGAAGGCTTCCTGGATTTCACATCTTTGCGCCGCATTGAAATTACCGGAAAATAGACTTTTAGGCGATGTGAACCGGAGACCCTATCTTCCAAACCTTTGCTCTGAATTGAGCGATTCCAAATTCTATGAGAAGATCTTCCATGGATCTCGAACTTTGATGAAGACCGGGTAAGCTGGTTTGGACAGGAGAGGCTCCGTCCGCCATGATCTTTGAAGTTCGCCGTTCAGTTCTCGGGTACGCGCAATGCTGGTGAATGCTCCGGAAGCTATATCTTTCTCTCCACTGGTCCGAATTGGATTATTCCAACTGTTCTGGAATCTTTGCTTGATTATCTCCAACTTTGGTGAAGACCCCGCCGACTGATTCGGAACGGAAGGTTCCCCGGATTGCTGATTTCTGAATTGCGCGGGCAAGGGCAACTTTTGGTCGTAAAAACCTTCCCGCGGTAAGGAAAATGGCCGAGGGCTGTGTACCGCGGTAAGCTTTTTGGTCGTAAAAATCCTTGCCTCGGTCAAAAACTTGTCCCGTGGTATTTTTGCACTCGATACTCGATTCTGGCCGATCGGTAAGGTTTTTGGCCGGTAATGAGCGTCCGGTAAACATTTTGGTCGAGGTTTCCGACCAGCCGGTACGAGATTTGGCTGAGAAATTCCTCCAAGCAGTTTTCACCATTTTTGACCCTTTTCTTCACCGTTTTCTTTCCTGTTCCTCTTCTTAGGCTCCAATTGGTCTCCAAAGCTCCTGATAAGGACTTCAAAACATGGAAAACTCTTTGGGACCTAATGCAAGCCCTATGTCCTATTTTGACGCCTAAAGACTCAATTTACATGAGAAAACACATGATGGGGACTCTATAATGCAATCTAAATGATGTAAAATATAGACATATCAACTCCCCCACACTTGTCCTTTGCTTGTCCTCAAGCAAAAAGAACAAATGAGAGAGAGAGGTTGTAATGCAGATGGAGCTCATATTTCCTTTTTAGAGAGAAGTGACCACAAGATAACTCGGATTCATGCTCGAATATGCAATGCAAAGCTATACTCGGATATTCTCCAACTAAAACACGGAATCTCCACAAGTCATTATCACATTCAACTCTTTCACATTCATTAAGTTCGTAACCGGTGAATCAAATGATGCAATGTTCAAATAGGCTGGCTTGGCTAGGGTAAGGTCATGAGATAAAGATGATCTCATCAATATTCAAGCGGGTGCAATGCAACAAGGATCTCTCTATGAAAGACCAAACTTTGGCAGAATGCTAAAGGTAAAAAGCAACCGATGCATACAAGGGCAAGGCTCATCACACCCCACACTCCACTCAAAGCGTTTCTCACTTGCTCACCCTCTCAGAATCCTCACTCTTCACAATCGTTTTCTTTTCACTAGGGGACTCGCCTTTTTCTTTTATTTTCAAGCCTTGGTTTTCACTTATTCACACAGCTCTTTTCTTTCATAGCGTATAGCCTCTTTCATTTTCATTTCAGAACACTTGAGCCTTTGGCTTCTTTTCATTTCAGAGCTTATCTTTTCACATCCAAGACTTAATTCATTTTCATTCATTTCCCTAGCTATTTCCACTCTTACTTTTCCACTCAGCTCACCTTTTTCCACTCACCAACAAGTCTTTTTCCCCACACTTATTTCTCACCAATACTCTTGGTTCCTTGATGTTGGAACATACCACTCAATGAGCCAAGCCCTTATCGCTCTAAACCTAACACTTTCTGCCAAGTTCAGTCCAAGGTGGCCTTACAATTCACACACAAACATTGGCTCGAAAGAAAGATGGGTTCAAGGTGAGGGAACTGATCCATGATGTGGATTCAGCTACCTGAGCTAAGGAAGGAGGGTGGTAAAAACAACGATTCTAGCTCAAGTATGTATATCGGTATCCACAAGCCTATTCAAGCAATGCATCAAAAGATATTTACATTTCAAGTTCAAGGTTATCACTTAGCTAGAGTTGAGTGTAATTCAAACTTGTTTCTCAGATTCAAATCGTTTCAAGCTTTACAAGCACAGAATGAGTTTCACAAGCATATTTAGTTCAAGTTCTCAAGTGATTTACTCTCTAGGAAAAAATCTATCATTGCTCCTTGCACTGATGCAATCCTACGTGATGCAACTAGACTCAATCTTAAAATGCGAGATGCAACTAGAATGATGTAATTTATCACATGTATTAAGCTAAATGAGACTCAAGAATGCAAAAGTCAAATAAGAACAAAGAAAACAAGATCAGAAAACACAAAGCTCCTCCCCCCACACTTAGATAACACAGTCCCTTGTGTTATAAAAGCGTG